GCCTCGTGTCGGGCGAGGCCGGGGCTCGCTGCGCTGGGGCTTCGAGCTTGTGCTGCCCGGTCCGCCTGTGCTCTCACTCGGCGTGGAAAGAAACCTGGCCGGAGGACGGTCCCCTGCCTCAGGCCCGGGGACAAGTACTTCGCGTAAAAGGCCCTGTGAAGAAAGCGGCCGGAGCTTCACTCGGGAAGGCTCTTTCTGCTGCTTGTTAGCTGTACTGATGGGTTGTATTTTGTTCGTTCTAGTTTCGCAACCAGTATGACAACGATGTCACAGTTTGGAGCCCTCAGGTAAAATGTTCCGAAGCTTGCTAACTGGCTTTTTACTTGCTTTTTATTTTTTCTTCACTTTCGCAGCAGTGGTATCACAATAGCATCGATTGTATTCAGGTGCCAAAAGCTTACTGCAGTCTGCTCCCTTCGTGTTCTGTAGGCTCTAGGTGTCTAGAAAGCCATTAGCACATCTCTGAGCTTCTGGTGTATGAGCCTGAATGATGCTTAGGTGGGCCTGGTACGGAAGTACTGAAGGCAATTGTTTTCTGAATGTACCTGTGAGGTATGAAATAGATGCTGTCATCGCCGGGGGTTGGGCTAGATGATCTTTAAAGGTCCCTTCCAATCCAAACCATTCTATAATCGATTTACAGACCTATAATAAGAAGTTGGTAAGTAAGGTATCAAAAAGCATGAAACTGAGCTTAAAGCCCCCAAATATTAGGCTACTGCTAGGTCATTCCCTCTTCTATTCACTAGCTAGTGTTGGAAAGGAACTATTTAGTTTACAGTTAGGAAGAACTTTTTTTTTTACTAAGAGCTTTACTGTATTCAGATTGTTCAGAACAAAATCAAATTATTCAAAGTTAGTGTTTAGTGCTTGAGTGAGAATATGCTGACTTCTTCAAGCGTGGCGTAACAGCACTGTTGCTCTTTTTGTGCAGACGATTTTTACTGCCTTGTAAGTCCCCTATTTGAATGACTGTACCCACGTGGTAGTCTGAAGCTTGGAATCTGAGATACTGATTTTTGTAGTATGAATTCACAGATCTTAATTTTCTAAATAGAAATGGTCACAAACATCCCTGTTGAGTAAATTCCATAGATAAAGCTTATAATTATAACATTGAGAGCTAGAACATGCAAGTGGTTAAATGCCGTATGATTTTGTAATGCAGTTTACATTGTGCTTCCATGATGAAGTCTGTGCAGCTGCGCGTCCCTAGTTTCCCATGTTATGGAATGTTAGGGAGGCTTCATACTATCTCTGTATTTAAGATTATATTGAAGTTTGCACTTTAATTTGAAATTTTATTACGTCTGAATCAGTTTCACATTGTGTATTCTTCTAAAACTTACGCAGGTTATGTTGACTTCAAAATAAATATTCTAGAATTTTAAAAGCAAGTGTCAGTTCAGGTGTTTAATATTGCCTCTTCTCGTGGTCTGTACATTTTAAGATAGGATATTTATGGAAAATCGGAGTCTTGAAAATTGACTCGTTTCTAGATTTAGCAAAACTAAAGATTTATTTTAAGTGCAAACAGCAAATTGTATTAGTATGAAGTTAATATATTATTAGTTTGTGGGTTTGTATTACTACTGAAAATCTTCATCATGTAGTAGTACTGTTTGAAAGATACATTTTCAACATATATTGTAACAGAGCATGTTTCGTACTTTCCGTCCTATATGAAGACAACCTTGAATATTTGAATGTTCTTTAGCCAATACCATGATAGCTGTAGATGGCTTTGAACTGTTTTCCTCCTTCTTAATGATTGTGTTTCTCTGGCAGATTCTGTATCAGGAACTTTAATTTTAAATTCTTTTATCTATCTGTTACTTTAAAAATTACTTTTAAAACTGTAACGTTCTCTTGAGACTTTCAGTAGATATTGTGAAGTCATTAACGACACTCATTTCTGTTTTTTTTTTTCATAAATTGCCTTGAAAATATGAATAGTGTGGATGTCTTTTATAAAAGACATTTAAAATTGCTACTCTGCTGCAATTACTGCTCCATACATTCCTGTAGGTGAGGCAGTGTTATGATACAGTAATAATTATTGGCATTGTTAATACAGGAGCAAAGAATAATCATATTTTATTGGGGGGTGTTTTCAAATATTGTTGTAAAGAAAAGGAGATACGAGATTAAAGGCTAGAAGAGGTTTCACGCTTTTACAGCCTTTCAAGTCATTCATGAAAGTTGATAAATACATGTTGGACAGGTCCCAGTGATTCCATACTGCTCTTGGGCAGGAAATATCCTATGTTACTGAAATTCCATTTATAACTTAGTGGATGAAATGGAACGTTAGGGTATTTTAAGCATCTAGTGGACTTTGTATTTCTCTAAATAAATCAAACAAATAAAAAAACCCCAGCAACCTAATAGAAGGTGATTTCCTCTAGATTATCCCCAGTACATTTTACTATAACAGCTACTACATTCCACTCCATCACAACTGGTAGGATGCAACTCTGTGTTGCAGTTAGTAATTCCAGGACTTGCACAGTAGCAGTGAACATGCTGACTATTTGACATAGGCTGGCCAACTAGAGTGCAGAAAATTAGCTACTTTGCCCTCAGTGGCTGCATTAAAAGGGTGTTGTTTTATTTTCCTGCAAAGCTCCTGGCCGCCTTTGCAGAACTTGTGGGGACTTAATTGTCTTTGAGACCTCTACTCCTCTTTCAGACTTCACTGCAGTTGACTAATAACTTGTTCAGAAGTTATTAGGGAATGGATGGTGAGACACAACAATTGCGTAAGACTCATTTCTTCAGGAAACTCGATTAAAAGTTAAGCGTCCAACTTCAGCTGGAAGTTCTGTCTTTGAATCACATTGGGTCAAATACTGATTCCTCTGAAGACAGTGACAAAAGTCTTAACGGTTCTAGTAATGTCAAGATCATTCACCCTTTCTTTTTAGTTTTCCTGTTTCTTTGTGTGCAGTGGTGAGTGGCTCAGAGACAGCCATGTTTATGTGAGTTAACGATGAGGCATTTGCAGAAGATAATTGAGGAAGTCTATTGGTTGTAGGTTTAAACTGTGTTACGCAGTCAGTGTACCTGTTGGGGTGGGGGAATCAAAGGTCTGAAAATCAAGAACCATTGAAAATTGATACAGATGATCAATTTTAGAATTATTACCTTTGATTTTATTCTGTAGGGCCGAATTCATCAAATAGAATATGCCATGGAAGCTGTGAAACAAGGCTCAGCTACTGTGGGGCTGAAATCGAAAACGCATGCTGTTCTGGTTGCTCTAAAGGTAACTTCAAAACTGTGTTCTTGGGACAATAATGTTAGTGGAAGAGTTTTGGTTTGGCAAATTAGTTTTGCGCAGTCTGAACTTTTATGTGTAATGTAAATGCAATCCCAGTTTCCTGGTGCTTGAGTACCAGTATAGAACTATAAATATTTTCAGTACCTATGCAAAGCAGATTTTCACAAAATGGTGAAGGAAATGAGTGAAAGACTTTTTCCCTTTAAAAGATAAGTGTTCCTCCTTTCTTTTTTTTTTCATTAGTTATTAAGTAGTAAAACTATTTATTTCTGTTCCCAAAGCTTGAGTGAGTGTCTGTTCTTTCTTCCTTTCTGACAGTCTCCTACTCAAGTGGAATTAGGTTTTTCTTGTCTTCTGTTGCAAGTTTATAAATTTATTTTTTTATTGTTTCATGATCATATTCAGTTTTTGCTATAAATGTTAGCAGATTTCTCCACAGTGCTTGGCAAACTGTTCAGTCTGCCACATAGCTTTCTCCTTTTATGCATAGAGAGCACAGTCTGAGCTGGCAGCTCATCAGAAAAAAATCCTGTACGTTGACAACCATATTGGTATCTCAATTGCTGGACTTACTGCTGATGCAAGACTCTTGTGGTGAGTATTTTAGTTGTTGACATACACAGTTCTGCAATAATGAGTGAAAGTTCATTTGTAGGCTATTGCAAATGAAATTTTATGGTCAGCTAAGGATTAGTCTTGAGTTACTGCTCTGTTGTACTATGCCAAAGACCTCAGCATGAAATTCTGGCGGATTTTTAAGTAGTTGGCAGAAATCTCATTTGTTTGGCCCAAAATTTTGCTCTTTGGTTTTGTTACTAGTAAGACAGTCCTGTCTGGTTTCCTCAGTGTGATGGGGTTTCCAAGCAGTCTGAGAAAGTGCATCACTTATTTCCCCCTAGCAGCTGCTTCTGTGTACACACATTTAAGGAAGTTATTAAAAACATACACTGCTGTATGCGTCAGCTTCAGAGGGGTTTGCTTTTTACCTGCTGGCCGCATAGTTTCATCAGATGAGGTAAATGTACACGGAAGGAGGAGTGTTCCTCAGTTTGATAGGAAAGGACAAAGAAGGCATAGGAAGAATTTCTAAAATAAATTTTAATAGCTGTAATGTTACAAAGAAATGTTACCATTTAACTGTGGCTTTTTTCCAGATGATCCGTCTGTTGCCTGCATGAACTTCTACCTTCTTTGCATTTGTATGGCTTAAATACTATAATACTCTTTCAAACCTGTGGTCAACTTTCTAAACAACAATTATAGGTCATGATGAAATGAAATTACATAATGCCTTTGACCCTTTTTCTCAACAAGCAGGGCTGAAACAAAAATGTGCTTACCTTAACAGACACGTATTGAGACAAAAACTCATTGTGACTTTCATCTATGCATTGGTTTGATTTTTTTATCTTTTTTTTTCTGTTTCCTCCTAGCAATTTCACGCGTCAGGAGTGTCTGGATTCTAGATTTGTGTTTGATAGACCTCTTCCAGTTTCTCGCCTAGTGTCACTAATTGGGAGCAGTATCCTTTTTTTTTTTTTTTTTTTACACTCGTAACAGTTTTATAGCTTTTTACTTGTTCATACTTGTTCATGAAATGATTTTCATATATCACAGCTTAAAAGTCATATTAAATTGAAACAGTTAATTCGAAGTTAATTTTTCTTTATTCACATCACTTATGTATTCTTTCAGAGAATATCTTATAATATGCACTGAACTGGTAGAGAAGCAATAAAAGTGCTATGCAATACTTAACATAGCACTGTTCTTCTGTTACACAGCCACGTGCCTTTGGAGGTGGGGGAGGAAAGATGACTGCACTGTTCAAAATATGATCGTTTACTGGATTGCAGCTGCTCGCTCAGATGTTTTTTTTTCTGTGGCAACTTCAGTCTCTGCATGGAACACAGCAGAGGCCTTGTATTCTGTTATCGGGTGCCTAGAAGAAGTTCAAAGGGATAAGAAATTAAATGAGGCTGTGCAGCGTTAGGTGAACTGTTTCTAGTACTTGGTTGAATGCACCACTCAGTTATCTTGGGAAAGCTAATTACTAAATTTTCTTTTGGTGAAAAAGAAGTTGGTATTCCAAGTAAGTCGCGAGATCTGTTTCTTTTGAACAAAGTCTTCACTGCTGCAAAAAGGTTTGCAAAGACTATGTAATGATTTTGGTGCATCTCTGCTTGGCTTAGAAAAATGTTTTGGGTAATTAACATGTTTTTTTGAGATTGTTTCCTTAGCTTACTTAAGAAACCCAGATACCAACGCAGCGTTATGGCAGAAGACCATATGGCGTAGGACTGCTCATTGCAGGTTATGATGTAAGCAAGCTGCGCTAGTTTCTATTGATCTAAAAGAAAATGTGCTTAATGCAATTTTATACAACAAATAGATGTTAAGAGGGGAAGATGGAAGAGGCAGACTCACCAAAATTCTCTGAATAAGGAAATAACTTTCTGTATCTTACACTAAAATGTAACTTTAAAAAATGTTAATTAACAGCTAATCCTACCTACACTTATGAGGTGTACATTTCCAAGAATGAAAAACTAATTATTTTAAGGTACAAAATGAGATACTGCAAAAATAAGATTTGTTTGTGTTTTAAGGGATCAAAATGTTGATCCCACGATGACAGTAATTATTTTACTATTTACAAACTATTATTTTAAATACTTTTTATAAAAAAATGGATGTGGAAATCATCACTGGCCTCTCTCTTAGTTGTTTAGCAACAACAGTTTGCTTAATGCAGCACACACAGAATCTCTGCCCTCGAGATTTTTGACATGAGGAAGGTTGAAGGAAACTGTTGTCTTGCCTGAAATCTTGCATGGTGTGGTTATGTCTACAGCAGGTTTTTACTTTTGTGCAGATAAGACGGAATACGTGTAAAATATCTATTGCAAGCCATGAAGTAGATTATTGCTATCCCAGTAGCTTTGAAGGAATTGTATAAGAACAGTGTTATGATAAGCAACATAAAACAAAATATGTGCATACATACAAGCTATGCAATGTACCACAAAGCAAAACTGTTTTAGAAAATATCGTGTGTTACAGCAGCAGACTTGGTGTGTATTTATACATTTGTTTTACGTTCTGTGGGGCTTTTTTTCTCTTTGTAGGATATGGGTCCTCACATCTTCCAGACTTGTCCCTCTGCAAACTATTTTGACTGCAAAGCAATGTCCATTGGTGCTCGTTCACAGTCAGCACGAACTTATTTGGAGAGACACATGACTGAATTTACTGACTGTGAGTAATCAAACCCTGTCTATCTAATGGTATTCATCAATTATGCAGTTTATTTTCTGCTACTGCTCCGTTCTTTTGCATTTAGTAAGATATGAAGATAAATTTTGGGAGGCAAGTTTGGCATAAGTGTAAATCTGCAGGAAGACAAAATTGTAGAGAAAACGTTACAAAGCTTCATTTCTAACATCTGGACGTTTATTACATCTAATGGAAAGAGAAGATGTGCTCAGAAAAGCAGAGGAAAAAAGTAAAAGGCCTCTGCCCTAATTAACCCAGGGAAAGAACAATTCTTTTCTTATCAGAGCAGGGATAGTATGTCAGGGCAAGTACTTAGGTGGTGCATTTAAAATGGTGGATTTATTTCTATAAGAAACGGTGATGAGGAGGCTACTGAATGGCTGCTTGGGGAAAAAACAGCGTGATTATCACTGCACTGGAGGCAAGGCAGGTGCCAAAACCATACGCATTTGACCTCAAATGTAGGGAAGGGCTGGTTTCTCAAGGTATACTTTTATAACAAACTCTGTGATCAGTACCAGACATACCTAAGGAGAGGAGTTCTGGAAGTCAAGCTAGTCAAGCTGATTTTCTAGTTGTCAACTGGGAATGGGAAGAAGAGGAAATGAGTGTCTAAAGATAATACTATACATTTTGTAAATGTCTTTCTGATTTCATTTTAAGGTAATCTAAATGAGTTAGTTAAACATGGACTGCGTGCCCTGAGAGAGACTCTTCCTGAACCCCCAAGGTAAATACTAGGTTTTCTTAACAAGAAATTTTACTGCCACTTTTATTAGAAATAACTGTGACAAAATTCCTGTGAAGTATGGCTGGCACTGAAATTTGGAAGCTGAATTCTGGTAGATAATATCATCTTCACCTCATGTCATCAGTTTATCTATAGTTTCCTTAATTATCTCAGATTTAATTTTCTTAACAAAAATGATACTTTATCTGAACAAGACATTGTTTCCCTGGTTGCTTCATTCTATTTTAAACTTTGATCAGTGTTTTAAGATGCATTACATGCAACTAGAATCACAACTTTGCGTTGTAAACACAGTCAGTAATTCACCTGGGAGGTGAGGGAAGGTAACGCACAAACAGTTGATTGAGTATCCAGCATCAAAAAGTTGCAGAAACTTCTGACAACAAATTGAGGAACTGTCGAATAAGAAAATTCTAAGGATATCCATTAGTTAGTGTTCTGCTTGTGGCTGATCTGCCCTTTTCCATGTTTGTTTGTTTTTTTTTTTACTCTTAGCCCACCTTGGGTTTTAGAACTTTTAAAATAATGAAAATGCAAAATAAGATTAAAATAAGTGGTTTTGAAAAATCGTGTATGTTATTAAAAAGAAAACAAAAAATTGAAAGAAATTGAAACCCTTGAAAAGTGGTTTTGCTGACAAGATTTTGAAACATGGTAGCTTTTGTAGGGTATAAATCTGCCTCGCTTTTCTAGTGCAACCTACCAAAGAGGGAGTCTCAAAATTTCCTTTTTTCCTTAAGCAGACACAAACAGCACAATGAGTCTATCGCAGGAGGAAACTGTCATCTGTTTCACAAGTGAAAGCTGTAAAGCCAGAGTTATTTGCAGAAAAATGCTTCTCACTTCTTTCAAAACCTTGCTTAACAGAATGTTTCCATTGGAATTGTTGGCAAAGACATGGAGTTTACCATCTATGACGATGATGACGTAGCACCATTCCTAGAAGGTCTTGAGGAGAGACCACAGAGGAAGGTATGTGGTTTAGATATAAATCAATAGGCTTTGTTGAAAGACAGCATTTTGTGACATATGACCTGTCACATTTATGTTTACGACATTTAACTACTCCAGTAGATTTTTACGAATGTGATTTTTAAAATTTGAAGTTACTATATGAAAACCATATAATGTTGCTGGAGACTAAGATGCTTATTAAATCAATTTATGCTGAATTGGTGCCAGGCTGTTCCAATGTCATCTTCTTTCCTCATCTTTGATCAAGTATTGGTTTTCACTTTTTTGCAACAGAAGTAACTACGTATGTTTCTCATTCCTTGTTTATCACAAGATGCATCCTTAGTCTCCTAATTACAAACTCGGTCCTGTTCCATGCTTAATTTGGATAACACTACTTTGTAAGCTATTTGCTGACATGAGCTGCATTTACCACTCGTGATGCTCAATCGAGGATAAAGCTGATTTGTTAAATGTTGTTTTCTGCCCTCCTATAATACATATATTTTTCCTCTCTTTAAGCCTGCTCCGCCTGCTGATGAATCTGCAGAAAAGGCAGAGGAGCCGATGGAGCACTAGTTGGTGGATGAGTTCCTCTGTGTTAACATATATGTCTAATTATACAGGAACATTTATCCATTTGCTGGTAACTTTATCCTCACCTATATGCATTTTCTGCCGATACGTTCTGAGGATTACTCTTAAAAGAAAGAAACCAACCCACCTATCCTTAAAAGGTAGACAGGAGGTCATAATTGGGTGTATTTTCTTTGACAAGAAAGGTGTAATCATTTTCTAAATAGTACGTGATACTGTTTTTTAATGAAAAGCATACTGTCTTTAACTTGTAAGGACAAGTGGAAATAAATCACTTTCTTGGAATCTGCTGTGGGTTTGTTTTTTTTAATGTGAACGAACCGATTCAAATACTTCTGTCATATCAAGGTGCCATCGTGTATTTGACCATTTGTCAGAGTGAGCATTTACTTACTGTATATAAATGTGGTGCTCTTGGAAACGTTTGAACTGAGAGGGCTTTAAAATGCCTGCAGAAGTACAAAATAGTTGTGGAACAAATAGGGTGCAGGGTGTTTCCCCATGTTGTCTTGTCATTTTCTCACACTCAACTTGAGAAGACATTTCTGGTTGTGAGCGTTTACCAGAAACACTGCAGGCTGAAGAAGCGCGAAGCTGCCAGCCAGCTTGTTTGGTTTTCCGAGTTCTCCGCTTTAGTAAACCCCAGCTCATGTGGAACCGAAATGAATCACTTTATTTCTTTAGAGCCGACGGCCAGCTATGGGGTAGCGAAGGGCTTTTAGCTCACTAATGGCCTAAATGGACCTAACGAGGGGAGCACATAAAATTCCCATTACAGGTCCCTTGAGCTGCGGAGTCTCTGCATTGCGGCTGAGTAAAGAGCCTCTCCGGGGCTTTGCCCCTTCAGCCTGCTCTGCGCGGCCTGACTGAGGGGTACCTGGTGCCCGTTGGGGTTCGAGCTGGATGCCACGAAATTTGGGACTAACAGCGACTTCTTAGGGACGTCTGGCAGGGAAGCCCGGTGAGTCTGTGCTTCCTAGGTGCAAAGTGGGTGTGATGCTGTATTTTAAGCAAAATGAGTTCAGTGTTATTTTTTTTTCATTTTCCATGTTGGATCATTCTATTATAATTATTCTCACTAATGGAGACATTGAAAAGAATAAGAAACAAGTGGGTTCACTTAGGGGCTTGATATCCTGCTCAATGTACTTTTAAAAAAGGAAGAAAAAAAAAGGACTAAAAACTTGCATCTTGTCTTTTATTAATTAATAAAGCATGGTGCTGTTTTGAACAGGGTTTAAATACTATGTTGAATCCATTTAAATAGTTAGTCATGAAAAGATTAACAAAATAATAATGTCAGGGCGGTGTAGTTTTAAGCACTAGACGAAGCTGCTTTTAATTTTTTGTTATTTTTTCCCCCTATTATTTTTCTATTTTTTCCCCATTATTTTTCTATTTATTTTTTTCCCTATTTATTTTTTCCCCTATTTATTTCTCTCCCTTTTTTTTTTTTTGGTGGGATTTTTTGGGGTTTTTTTTGTTGTTG